GCACCCTGATTGACAGTGGGTGTACTGGTAGCTCCATCAATCGAAGCTTCGTCCGGCAGCACAACCTTTCTACCAGATCCACAGCTGCCCCCATACCAGTATACAATGCTGACGGAACAAAGAACCAGGCCGGATCAATCACAGAGTACATGGAACTTAGGTTGACCATCGAGGATCACTCCAAAAGGATTGATCTAGCCGTAACAGATCTCAGGAATAAGGAATTATTCCTAGGACACGATTGGCTCATCCGACATAACCTGCTTATCAACTGGAAGACCGGGAGGCTCACATTTGCACAATGCCGATGTCGAAAGATCCCCTACGAACTCCCCGATGAGGATCCAGAGGACAGGTGGGATGAGGAGATGGAAGACGGCGAGACCATTCTAGCCATCGACTTACAGAAGGAAATTCACATCCGGGCAGTACATCATGCCAATAATCTGGCGGCCAAGGCTCACGAGGGGGAAAAGGAGAGGACCTTCGAAGAAATGGTGCCAGAATGGGCATGCGATTATCGGGACCTCTTCGAGAAGGAAAGTTTCGATGAGCTTCCACTCCCGAAACCTTGGGATCACGCAATCGAGTTAACCCCCAACGCCAACGCAAACCTTGACTGCAAAACCTACCCCCTCGGAAACCAGGAGCAACAGGAACTCGATAAGTTCCTAGACGAGAACCTATCCTCTGGACGTATTCGACCATCGAAGTCCCCCATGGCCTCCCCTTTCTTCTTTGTAAAGAAGAAGGATGGCAAGCTTCGGCCCGTTCAGGACTACCATAAATTAAACGAAATGACCATCAAGAATCGGTATCCACTCCCATTGATTTCAGACCGAGGACCCCAATTTGTTTCAAAATTCCTCGATGACCTGTACAAACTGCTACAGATAAAACGAAATGCGTCCATGGCCTATCACCCACAGACCGACGGACAAACTGAGCGGGCAAACCAGGAAGTGGAGAAATACCTCCGCCTATTCATCAATTATCGACAGGACGATTGGGTCGAATGGCTGGCACTCGCAGCCTTTCAACACAATAACAGAGTTCATTCCGGCACTGGGTTGACACCTTTCTTCATCAATTATGGCCGACATCCACACGTGGCACAGACAATCTGCCATAAAACAACAACCCCAGCATCTACGCTATTCGCGTCGACGATGGAGAAGATTCATGCCGAGACAAAGGCCGCATTAGAAAAAACCGCTGATGCTATGAAAAAACAGTACGACAAACATCGCCGCCCAGCCCACGAATACCAGACCAACGACAAGGTCTGGCTGGATACAACCAATCTTCACCTTCCCAGACCCAAACGAAAGTTAGCCGACAAGCGCACGGGCCCCTTCCCAATCCTAGCAAAGATCAGGGCATCAGCCTATAAACTGAAACTGCCACTGGCATGGAAAATCCACGATGTCTTCAATGAATCCCTCCTCTCCCCATACGTAGCACCAGCATTCCCCAACCAGGAACGACCACCTCCGCCACCTCCCGAATTGATTGATGATGAAGAACACTACGAAATAGAACAAGTCCTCAACCACAAACTCTGGAAAGTAAAAGCACGAGGAGGTGGAATGACCACTACAGTGGACTACCTCATCAGTTGGAAGGGATACGGACCGGAATCGAACCAATGGATTAACGAAAAATACATGAACGCCGACGACGCCATACACGAATATGAACTATCCCTTAATTAAGCCATCGGGACGATGGTCTTAAGCAGGGGGTAATGTTACAATTTTTCCCGTTTCTTCCCCTTTACTCCTATTTTATGATTAGTCAGAAAGGCACAAGACCATGGGGAGCTTAGTCAGCACAACCCGGTTGCCCATCAGGTCACCATGACAGTCGAGCACGATGACACACAATCAGCCTTTTATGTATGATAGCGACGCTCAAGGACAACGAGCACCATGGACACAGACACACATAATAAGCAGTAGTATATTTAGAAGACAACTGTACAGTATTTAAGGACCACAGCTCTCGCTGGTATACCCCAGCTTCGAGCTAAAGTTTATACACACCATTCTATCTCGAGTCTACTTCTGACCTTGAGTCACATCGTTCAGATATACATATAGTGGACTCAGGTGATTCCTCGAAGTGCGAAGGAACATCTGTTTATCACATGTATCAGTCCACGTGACGCTTGGGCTTAACAGAGGGGAGATCAGAAAACCTACTTTCTCTATCTCTGTACTGCTATTTATACTTTCTGGATCCCCAGTGTCTGACTAACTCTGTGATCTACTGACTAATAAGCTTGCTGGTCTGGCTCAGTAGGCTAAACCCATCTCCTGGCACATCTGAGCTCATTTGCAGTTAGCCTGATTGAATGACCAGACTCTGCCCAACTCTTGCCAGCATACCAATCATATGAGCCCCTTGGACCTTGGAACCTCTCCTGCTAAATCACAAGGTCTGCTAGTACTCTGGCTTCTATCAGATGCTGAGGTGATGCCTTTTGAGGAAGTTGGTCCTTCACCAGGTAATTACTTGCTCATTATCTCTTACTATGGCATAGAGCAACTAATCTGATAGAAAAAAATAAATATATTCAACTTTCCACCTGATACAGTTGCTGAGCACATCAGCAGTCCCACCACTGGTGTACACAGCTGTTCTGTGTACTGCTGTTGGTTATAACCCTAGTTTAGCATTGCTTCTGAGGTTCTTCTGAGCAAATTCTGCACTGCATACCTATAAGCATGTCTCTTCTAACTGTTTGTTTACTACATAGCTTGACCAATCTTTTCTAGCATTTTGCCTTGAGAATAGTGCCTCATCTACCTTTTGTCCTTCAGATCTATCTAACTCATCATTGGTTTGCAAGAATACACTGCTTGGATACCACTCTCCATATGCACCATACAGAGCCCATTCTGCATCCATGACTATATGTACCTGCTCCTTTCCTACACTAGTTTCTCTCAGAGCCAAATGTTGTCAATCATTTCTACCACAGACATTGAAGAAAAAATCCATTTATCTCTCAGATTTTCTCTATAACCAGACTATCTGAGCCAGCTGTCATTCTCTGACATTTGAATACTGGATGTGGTGCTATGTGACAAGAATTTTCTTCTTTAAAGCTTTGTTATTGAATCTTTGAACTCCTGACTTGTCTGTTGTCTGGAATGATTATTTCTCTCCACCTAAGTGCTCCTATCAAAACTGACAAGATTTATGAACACTATGTCAGCAGCTTTTTGATTCATTATATTATGCTTTTCACTGATTTATCCCCTTAAAAATCATCTGGACCTTGCCATCATGCTTCTGAAAACTCTCTCTGAAAATAGATCTTCAGAGATGGAGCACATTATTATTTCTTATTTCTTCTTCACTTTAGCAACATTTTGATCTTTTGTGTTCTAAGCATCTCCAAAACTCTGAATGGTCATTTATCCTGTCAGCCATGAGAGCAATGTTACTGTGACCCATTCTGCTGACTCTTGAACTTGAAATACTCTTATGTATCTGACTTTGTTTTTTTATCAGTTCAGGTTTGATACTTTTAACAATCCCTTCTCACCCTCATTATACTCCACACTCTTCAAAATTATATCCAAAAGATTTATCTACATACTCATGAATACAGTTTGATTCATGATGTAGTTTGATTATTGACAGTCATTTGTCATCATAGACAAGCACTTGATTATTCTTACATCTCAGAAATCAGAAAGGGGTCACAATTAAAACAGATTCATAGCTATCACAGCCTGTTCTGCACCATGTGGGATAAAACTTATGACTGCAATTCAGCTAAGATAGCATCAGAGATGAGATAATCTTATACATGATTGGTCCAGGTCTCTTTGTGGAAGTATACTGGCATCAATTATTTCATGCTGCTTCTGCAGAACCATGAAGACTCCCAAGTTCTGATCACAAATGTGACTGGAGCCTGGCTGTTCAAAATGCCTTTTGTTTGTCAGGCTGGTAGGCTAATCTGGGGAGAAACCTGGGCCTTCCCAAGCATTTTAAAATCATACATCACTTTCAAATTGATTAGAGAAGCAAGTAGATCAGAGTTCATCAATTTCTTATGCAATGTTTGTTTCAGAATAAGATGATCTTCCATACTAGAATATTAGCAGGACACATTTTGAACCTCAAAGAAGGGATTCACAGATGCTGTAAGCAGGACAGGATTATTTGCTTTTGAGATGTTAAATGAATGGATAAATTCTCCAGCCAGAAAGGATAGGAGAGCAACATTCTCAGGGTGGTGAATGATCCCAAGTGGAATTGTTATTGAAATGCAGGTGTTCCTTTCATATGATCAGATGTCTATTCATAGAAAGAAGTCAGAATCTGGCCATTGCAAATAGTCTGACTTTCATCAGAGCTGAACACCAAACCCATAGCCAAGCACATTGGAGAAGTTAGAATGCTCTCACAGAAAAAAGAGATATATTTGATGAATATTTGCTTCCACTGAATGCCACATCATGCACCTTGTGTTAGAATTTAGGTGCTGGCGATTCAGAGGAAGGTGTATTGGACTTGAAGGAAGGGTACATTTCATCATATAGAGTAAGGACAGTGGTGGTTCCAAGTCAAGTCAATAAGGTACAAAATGTCAAAGTATAAGGTAAGCAGTAAAATATATATAAATAGAATATGATATTAAAGCTGTGAAAACCTAATCTCAACACCTTGTACCATTATGGAGCATGTAGCCAGTGAGAAATGATCCTCTAACCGCTTCATTCATATCAGCCTAGCACTATACTTGTCCTGGGTAGAGTGAGTCTGAATAAACTATTTTTATTCTTGGGGATGACATATAGGAGAACTATAAAGGAGGCATCAAAGCACTGAGTATCATCAAGCCAAACGGCCCTCACAGTTGTATAGCTTTCACCTAGTTCATAATGTTGGCTCATCTTCCTTCTGTCACTCTCTTGGCTTTGCCTCTCCTTGCATCTGCCACCACCATTGTTCCCCATGGTGACAGTGGTACATCCTGATCCACTGGTACCATACAGTGCTGCAACTCTGTTGAGAGCATAAGTTGTCTTGTAAGTCATCAGAATGAACATGGGAGCTAATACGTATTATTGTAGCCTAGCTCCAATGCCGTTCAGACACTCTTGGGCCTCCTTGGAATCCTCGTTGGTGATATCACTGCTAATGTGTAGGTATTCATATCTTGACCGACCTCGCCGATGGCTGATGTATTTTCACCTAGCAGTGTTACCTGCAGCCCCATCAGCATCATCGGGGTCGGAGGCAATTCCTGTTCTGCGCAAACAGCCTGCTGCGAGAACAACTCCTTCGTTATTACTAACTCTATTCAGTGGATAACATTACGCTTACAGTCATAAACAGAATGGTGTTATTTCGCTTGGCTGTACCCCTATCAACATTGGCCTCTAAGGGACTCTGTAAATCCTTACGATTGACGATGATATAGTCATTTATCATATGAAGAAACATTTCGAGAAATCAGTGATGAAGAACAAATGTTTCATTGAAGATTTAAATTCATAACAAGAGTATAACTGACCTTATTCAAAGTCGACTGAGAATGAGAGTCGAAGGAGGATCTCTAGTCAGAATGTCTATCGTGTAGGGTAAGATGAGTATCCTCGTTGAATCCTGTCGCAATTATTGTGGACCTAAAGGGACCTTGATCACGATATTGATATAGTTTTACCATCCAAGACAGTTTTTCCCAAGTGAACAGTGTTTGGGCTGGGCAGAACTTGGTCATGATGTCTTGAAGTCGCATCTGTGTCCTAGACCTGCGGCTGGTCCCTACTACATGAACAAGGTTGGATGTAAGGCTAAGGGGCTGGTCACTGGTGTAGCATCTAGCCTCAGTGGTAGCAATGATGGTAATGCCATTCTACTTGCTTCTCATTGACTGAGAAGAAATGAACATACAGAAGTCACCCCTTTGTAGGGTCAAAGCGTTGCCTATACTCCTACCAATGATGAGAGATACCAGCAGCCCAGATCGAGGAAGAGCCATTCAAAAAATATAGATCAAGATTATGAGAAGGTCATGGCTGAAGGGTTAGGGTTAGGACGGTGTACCCCCTTCGGCAAAGCCGTTGGGGGTACACAGTATGAGTAAAGCAAATACTCACCTCAAAAGTGTTGAGGTTTGTTTGAATGCTGATGAAGTGAATCAAGGTCCAACAGAGGGATGGGGTCACCATCTCTCACCCTGTTTCGCTTTTATAGCTCTTCAGAGACCTGATTCATAAGCGGAATGACTATTCCGAGAGGTTTTGGCGGACCAATCAGAAACGCTTTATCAGCAATCACGCAATCCGCAGCACTTATGAAGTGATACATTTACTAATACTCATATGACATCGTACGATATATTATTCATTCTTGCTTACTCTGCAGGTTCTATTTAACTGGTTAGTAATACCATCTTACTAATTTATCCATTTTGCCGTCGGCTACTAAGTTAACCGGGCCCCGAAGGGCCTAGATCCTAACCGGCTTTTCGCCGGTCCGGTGGCCGAGTCTAGAATGTCGGACCGTTAGGTCCAGGTTAAGGTTCGGGTTAGTCCGGTTAGGGTTTCGGGCTGAGTAAAGCATATATTAGAATAATTCATTAATGTGTGACTGCGACGATGATTAAGTCGCCAGGACGTACTTAGGGTTAGAGTTAGTCCGCTGGCAGACTACCTGCCATCTATTCTGAGCCTGGAATGTTTATGTATGCCCCTGATAAAGGAGTCAGTTGTTTATATAGCGAAAGAATATACTGCATGGTTATTAAGTGGGAACATACCCGACTTGATTTAACTGTTACCCCCGGCAGATTTTTATAACAGTCCAACTACTTGCGACCGTCCTGCATTTAAAACCGGGTTAAACCGCACTGTCCACAAGTCTGCTGTGTCGATCCGAAGACCTAGCAGAGTCGCATCAGGATGTGCCTATAATCATATCTATGAAGACCTGTGGATCAACGCTGCTTCTGTCAGAATCGTCGCCAGCAGCAGGCGAATCAGAAGGTGGGACGTTTTGATCCGAGGATAGAGAATCTTCATCGTATTTTCGGAGAACCATCTTTTTCCAAAGACTGGTCATGTTGAACAGATTTTTAGTACGTTTTTTACTAACTATCGTTCATCGATTTAAGATACCTATTGTTCTGATATCCAGCATGCCCACAGGGCCTACTCGGGTTTCAACAGCCATCAACAGACGGTTGTCTACCTCCTCCGGGCTGATGTCTCCATACAGCACCGACATATTATTCGGCGCAGTGCTGAGGCGCTCGATTCTTTCGATTCAATCGTGCCAGGTACCTAGGATGATATCTCCGAGTTCTTTCGCTTTGAAATAGTTCCACATGGTATTATATGTGGACTTAAGTACTAAGACGCTGCTGTCATCTCCCTGCTGGGTCGCTACACCCAATCGATCTGACCATCGCTTAGCAATATTATCTTTCATCCATTTATACATGTAATCCGTAGGGTAGCCGCGTGCGATGTATAAAGCATTTAAACTTTTAATAGCATCTTTGTAGTGCTCATGTTTACTACTTAACACAGCTAACCTGGACATCTCACCAATAAAGGTGCTGTGTTTAACGTCAAGTGGATGATGGGATATCCATGGAATTCTTTCTTGGTGGGAGCGAGCTTTCCAATAAGGCATGTGTTGTATCGTGTTATTAGCATCGACATAAACAGTCATGTCCAGGAACGCGAGATGTGAGGGACTCGCTTCCCACTCTATTCTACAGCCATTGAACGCCACCGTTTCTAGTTGCGCTAATGCTTCTCTTTCATTATTAGCATAAACGATGGCTAGACAGTCATCAATGTACCTTCCATAGAAAGGTACATTGGTGGTAAATTCTAATTGCCGCTCGAAAAACCAACCATAAAGGTTGGCAAGATCGGGCGAATCGGCAACGCCCATTGCTAGGCTGTTCCGTTGTTCAAAAAATAAATCATTATACTGTAGAACCAAATTCTTATTGCTGACTGATAGACATTTGAGGAAAATCTGTTCTCGTCTAAGAGAATCCTCATCGCCTTTAGTACCATAATACTCTCCATATAGATGGGTAATTACATCTACACACCTTTGGATAGGTATATTCGGATAAAAAGCGACTACGTCACCCGTAACGATATAGATTTTACGGGTTCGATCTAGCTGAATTTGACTTAATTTTTTTGCCAAGTCTTTAGATCCATGTAATATGGTTGGCGCCAATTCGACAATCGGTTTAAGAATTTTAGACACGTATTTAGCTGCCAGATTCTGGATCGCTGAGTGGCATGGTATAATTGGCCGCATTTTAACAGGCTCTTTGTGAATTTTAGGAATACCATAAAATGTAGGCACCACATGTTGTGCTCCTGGCGAAGTAATCTTCGACCAGAAATATTTCCCTAATTGGAATCCGTTAGGAAGGTAGGCTTCAGCTAACCCCGCAATTTCTTCCATGTCCATGCATTGTTTATCGCATATCGCATTAATCATTAATAAATGTAACGGAGTATAATTACTACTATCGTTTATGATATCGAGTGACTTCTCAATAATCCACTGGCGCGTAGATACAGCTATGCCCAGGTTCTTGTCTGTGTTCGTAACCAAATAATTGTTACGATCCAAGAATTTTTGAATCTGACTCGGTTTAGGAGTGAGCGCCATTAAAGGCTCGTCCGATTCTGCCGGGATATTGGCGATCGTGTCAAACACGAAGCGCTCTTCCATGGCAATGCCAGCTTCAATATACTGTGGTGACCTCGGTGCCCATACGTCGCGAGACTTGGGAATGTCGAAGTCAGGATCATAGAGATCGTCGTCTGCATTGTTCTTAGTAAAGCTAAAGTAAAGCCTCCAACGGAGACATTCTTTAAAGTCTTCCCATGCTGACTTAATTAAGTCGGTATTGCGGGGGGTATAAAACATATATTTCATACCTACTGAGAGCTGAATTTCAATTTCTTTAGGGATGGTTACTCCTGGCAACTTATGTACTGTGTTACGATACTGAGCGGCCAATAAAATATCTATTGGCGTATGTAAATGTACAAAATTTAAAGCTACCAGATAAGGTACTGTGAGCAGCCAGTCAGGATAAGTAGCGGCAATGTCATACCTGAAATTAGTCGGGGTGCACCCAGCGACTACTACTTCCCTGCCTTCCCTTTGCCCTTGTCTTTCTTTGGGTGTCCAGACCCCCCAGGTTTTGTTGCGTCGGGTACTCGTCGACGCGCCTTGGGTATATACTTGGGGGGAGGCAGATGCTCTGACCCCGTCCGGACCTTATAGGTAGGCAGTACACAAATTGCTCAGAAGAACCTCAGAAGCAACCCTAAGTTAGGGTTTAAACCAACGGCGGTACGCAGAACAGCAGTGGTGGGACCACGAAATATGATGGATGCCTCGCTCTGAGGACGGACCATGCACAGGCCGGTACCACGAACGCACAGTGGTCCTTCTTGTGCATGGTCCGTGCGCTTTGGCAGGGGGCATGTCTGTTTCACGGTACATCAAGTCTATGGCCATTTGCATATGACATGGATGTAGGGAGCGCATTTGTTTCGCGGTACATGACCGAATCTCGAAATATGCACATTCTTGTCATTTAGATTCCACGTAGGTAGCATGTACAGTCTGCGGTACATTACCAAATCTCGAAATATGCACATTTTTGTGTTTTAGAAACGGTGTAGGTAGTGCATACAGTCTGTGGTACATGACCGATTCTCGAAATATGCCCATTCTTGTGTTTTATAATCTTGTAGGGCTCGCATTCAGTCCACGGTACATGACCGAATCTTGAAATATGGCCATTCTTGCCATTCAGAATTTGTGTAGGGAGCATATACAGTCCATGGTACATGACCGAATCTCGAAATATGCCCATTCTTGCCATTCAGAATTTGTGTAGGGAGCATATACAGTCCGTGGTACATTACTGAATCTCGAAATATGTCCATTCTTGTGTTTTAGAAACTGCGTAGGTAGCATATACAGTCCGCAGTACATTACCGATTCTCCAATTATCACCATTCTTGTCATTTAGCAACTGCATAGGTAGTGTGTACAGTCCACAGTACATGACCGATTCTCGAAATATGTCCATTCTGGTGTTTTAGAATCTGCGTATGGAGCGCATGCAGTCCGCGGTACATGACCGATTTTCTTTGCAGGCTTCTTTTCATCTGTCGGAGTGAAAATAGCACCATAACAATTTGTTCAATTTGCTATCATGTCTTTTGTCAATATACTTTGAAATGGTCAGAATATGTGACTAATTGTTTCATTGACATTGTATTCCAACATCTTCTTTGCTCCCCTTCTCCCTTTGTCAACTTCGATGCCGACTGGGCGACACAATGGGCTCCCCCAGTAGCATCCCTCTGTTCCCTTCCATAGTGATTGGTTCCCTTTCATCTGTTATTTGCCTCCTGATGTCTGGCTCTGCTTTATCCTCTGACGATTCCTCTTCTTCTCTGCGCTCTCAGAGAATGCGATCTTCTCTTTCCTGCATGTCCATCTCTTT